CCAAACCCAGCCCCAGAAACATCCCCAAACCAGCCCAAAAACAGCCCCAAAACCAGCCACCAAAATAGCCCCAGAAACAGCTCCAAACCCAGCCCCAAAAACAGCCCCAAAACCAGCCCCACACCAGCCCTAAAAACAGCCCCCAAACCAGCCCCAAACCAGTTACAAGAACAGCCCCAAAAATACCCAGCCCCAGAAACAGCCCCAAACCCAGGCCCCAAACCAGCCCCAAAAACAACCCCAAACCCAGCCCCAAATCCAGCCCCAAAACAGCCTCAAAGCAGCCCCAAAAATAGCCCCAAGTCCAGCCCCAAACCAGCCTCAAACCCAGCCCCAAACCCAGCTCCAAACCCAGCCCCAAGTCCAGCCCCAAACCCACCCCAAAACCAGCCCCAAAAACAGCCCCAAACACAGCCCCAAACCAGCTCCAAACCCAGCCCCAAACCCAGCCCCAAACCCAGCTCCAAACCCAGCCCCAAACCAGCCCCAAACCCAGCCTGCTTCAAAGCCTTTGGTCAGAGGATGTGAACTGGGAATAAAGGATGAGAAACTGCTGAAGAACAGCTGCAGCTCAGAGCTGAGAAAAAGGGAAATTAATGAGAAATGAAGGGGAATTAATAGGGAGAAATTAATGGGAAACCCCCCCAGGTTGAACAGCAGGGAGGGAAATCAGCATTGCTGGTTGGGGGGTCCCGAAATACCCCACAGGACACAGAGGTGTCTGTGGGGTACCATCAGTTCATGCTCTTAGCCCCAAAATCTCCCCAGGGCCACAGGCCACCCTCTCTGCCACCCCGTGGCTGTGCCACAGGGACTCTGGCTGTCCCTCCAGCTCTGAGATGAAAGCAGCTGTGAAGCTCTGTGGGATTTATCTTTACAAAACCTATATTTAGGACTTTTCACGTCTCAAACTATCAGTAAGTTCCTGCTCTTTCTTGTTCCTTATGATAAATATAAATGTATTCACTTAGTTCTTATTTTCTTATGAGAAAGTTTTAAATTTTCCCAGCCTTTCTCAACTTCATGTCTATTTTCTAGGGCCTTTTTACACTTTCTAAATCTGGTACCTTTTTATATTCCTACAAAGGACTCAGAGCTGGCTTTCAACACCAATTCTCTCTAAAAAAACTCTTTTTTGCTTTCCAAGAACTGGCAGGAACAGCCAAGTGGTCAGCAGAGGAAAGAGGAACGTCTCGGTCATTTCAGGCAGAAAAAACCCGACTGTTGGTGCTCTCGGTCTCACACATCCCCACTTCCTGAGTTTTTTGGGAAGCTCTGTGAGGACAGTGGCACCCCAGGTCACCCCAAACCTCGGGGCTGTCCCACCCGAGCCGGGGGCTCTGCCCAAAAAGTGCCAGGAGCGGGGGATTGAATCAGAGCTCTGCTCAGGATGGGCCCTGGGCACTGCTCTGCTCGGGCTGCTCCATGCCAGCCTGCGGGGCAATTTTGGGATTGTGAGAATTCCTGGGCAGCAGCGACCCAGGGCAGGCATCTCCCGGGAAA